TGAAAGAGCCGTGTTTTTGCCACAGTGCAAGGCTGATTATTATTCTCCCCAGTGGTCCTGCTGGAAAAGCAAGTTTTTTCTGCCCCAGTGCAGGGCTGCTGTAATGAACACATAAACTAATATTTCACCTTAGATATTAAAGTGAAAGTAGGGTACGTGTGTGTCCACCTAAAACCTGTGCCCCTATTGTGGGTAACGCTATGCGGCATCACTATGTTTACAGTGTCCCTTGTCAGTCTGGTTTGTAATCTGGCTGCTGACTCAATTGTGTGAGTTTACTTTTAAAATAGTAACTTGTTTTCATAGACTACTGTGTCTTGTGCCCTGTGCCCTGTGATGGACAAATGACCCGTTGCTGGAATAAGCTTCAGCTCCCCTGCAATGCTGTATTGGTTAAAATGGGTTGAAGATGGATTTAGCAGTTGGATTATTTAAAGGTGTACCTATATTGACAAATATAGTGGTTTCCTTGGCTATTGTACTGTATAAATAGTGTGATGTGTTATTAGATTTGAAAAATGTGTGCCAAACACCATAATATTTATTTATATTTATAATATTTATTTCTGACACTTCACCACAATGCAACCACCATGAATACAAACAGTATGTAACACGGACTGTATTCCAAAAAAATAATGTTACTTTGAACTTTGACACTTCCATTGTAAAATGATTTGTTCCAGGACTGTTTCTTTCCAGTCTGTGCCAGGCTGTTCCATGGATATTGACAGTTTCTCTTGTCACTTTGGGTATGTACTGTATCCTGGCTAATAACTAAATTATGCAAGTCTCCCTTTGAAATAGTAACACACTTCACTTTTACTGGTTTCACATACTTCAGGTTAACGTATATCAACTCAGAAAAAAAACGAAAATGTTTAATTACACACAGTTCTATTTTTCACCTATCACATATTTCCTTGAGAAAATAATAAAAATTATATATAAAATGCAACTTACCAGGTAGAATGAGGAGAGCAACTAAAACCATGTAGTGAAGCATCTTGTCAGTTGTTATTTTGCTCTTGGTAAACTTTATAACCAATATTTATACCCTGTGTGCTGTGTAAAACCCAAACATTCCTTATTGTCATGGAACATTTCCTATAAATAAGTAAAGAAGTTATCTCAAAACCTGCTCCTCCAGACAGAAAAAAATACAAAAAATGCAGTTTGGTGCCATTTTCCTTTTTTATTATTGTTATAAGATTAACAACAATAAGGTACAGTTTTGTTCTTATTGTTTCTTAGGTTCATAACCTAAATTGTTCTAAGGACTATAAATGTAAACTGGCTTCTACAGTGTAGCGGCAATGCTTGTTAATAAGACAGAATTAAGCGTTGGTATGCTCCTAAAGGAGGCCCCATCTCACCTTCCATCTCTGTGGTGCAGCCACAGAGAAAGAATTCATGCAGGCTGATTTAAGATGTTTTCTTTTGATAAGAAACAAGCTCCCAGATGGGGATGCAATTAGCTAAGCCTGGCTATCATGATCAATGGTCATCCATTGGCGCCTATCAGTCTAGGGAGTGCCGAATGGACATCTGGACTGCATTCCTAAGTGTCAAGAGTAAGTGACTTATATCTCACCTTGACCAACCAATCAGGGACTGGCAGGGCGTGGTAATACCACGTGGGTCTCCAATGCCCGCCAAACTCTCAACCAATCAGTACACATCTGGGTCTTGATCAAAAAGCGAGCGCAAGCTCAGTTCTGAGCTCTCCTTGGCCATTTTCGCGCATCCTCAGAGACAATCACGTGACAACTGCTGTTGTCTGCAAAAGGACTTGGACTTTGTTCTAAGAGCGAGGCCGAGGATCCCGTACGTACTCAGAATTCTACCAACGTGAATGCTCCGCTTGATCAACGGCAGCCTACAGTTGGACCCTTGTCGACAAACTGAATAGCTTATTCAGAAGCAGCGCTGGACCGGGAACTAACCAGTTTCTTCCCAGGCAAAAGAGTGACTTGTGAGGACTCGCGGTCAGACTCTGTGCATAGAGACTTTCTACTAGCCAGCCGGACTGCTGGTAGATCCCCTCGGAGCAACGACTGCCATGCGCGCCGCAGTCAGATTCCTCCGCCCGTCCTACTCCGAGCTGCACCTTGACTGGTTGGCCGGTAGCCAGAGGACGCCGACACAACGCCCATTGGACAACTGCTGGAACAGAGGCTGCAACAGAGCCTGTCAGCTGGTTTGGTTCGTGCTGGGAAATTCCAAATCCAAACACAGTGGATAAGTAAACCCCATGTTCTACATTGCGTCTCGAGAATTCAATTGTACCTCAACACAAGTTGTTATCAATTTAATTCATGAATAATGTATTTACTTCCGAGTTTAGAGTAACAGTGGGTAATAACACTGATTAGCGATTTGGTAACCGAACGATATATATTGACATATATTCTCTGTTGTGTATCTCTTTGTGTTTGCATCTCTTCGAGATTATATACCTTGTATATTGATAACCCTCACAGTAAGGTCTGCCGCTCGTATCCAGGCAGAGTAGTATATGTTTGGTGCACAGTTTATATTAATAAATGTATCTCGTGTATTGAACCCGTGTGTGTGCGTTGTTAGTTGTTCTGACGATTGATTTTCTAAAAGCCCCAACGAACAACCTCGTGGTTACTGCTACAATTAATAATTGTCTCAGTAAACCCATCAAACCACTACAACAGTATGTTAAAATCTTGAGTGTAACAACTTTTACCCTGTTCTTAATGTTAATAATCACCCTTCAGAAATATGAGGTACAGTAAACAAAGCAGGGATATGTTGCACAACCTTTGGCTATAGGTTGTACTGTAGATTACATTGAAATGACAAAAATATTCAGCTGCTGTGCCTGTGGAAAGTCTACAGACTCCTTCCAAAGTAAAACTTCCAAAGTTTTATAGCTTGAAATCAAGAAAAAATAAATCAGAATTTATTTGACCTTGTTATATACAACCTACAGTACAAGTGAAGAACAAATACTCAAACATTCTGAAAAGTAATTACAAATGAAAACCTAGAAAAATGTGTGAACTATTGTCCCTTCTCTCTGGTTTGCTCTAAACTCCAGCTGTCTGCTAAGGTGTAGTCACACGTGTGAAAGCCCATATGCCCAAATTAGTATGTTAAGATCAAGTTCTGACATGCTGAAACCTATTTTATCATTTAG